GCAGCAGCAGCAGCAGCAGCACTGTCACCCTGGACCCTCGTCATCTCACCCTCTCATCCTACTCCCTTGTCCTCGTCCCAATCACAACTATGACTATGCACACTCATGCTTCCAATTCCCCACGAAAATACAAGAGATCGTCAAGTCTCCTCCATGTCATGGTCAAAATGAACATAGATAACGTAGGGGCCGGAAAATCAAGACTGGGTCTTGTCTAACAAAGTTGCTGAACCCCTTAAAGAGCCAAACAACTGAGTTCAGGGTTCCTTTTACGGGTGCAGGGTTCTATCGGGTTCTGGTACGCTGGCACATAGCCAAAGCACCAAAGCAAACCTGACTCAGTTACTCAGACTACAGTGCAACGCTGGTCCCAAGCCCGAAAAGCCCTATCATCCAACACCCTGATTTAAAATGGCAAACCTATTGGGAAAACCCTTCAGGCAAACCCTCCGAAGTAGGAAAGATGTGAAAGGCGGGTGCCGAGCCTTCGCGTCTGGCAGAAATGCGGGTACTGTGCCATCTCCATGCCGAGCAGGTAGCCCTACGAGGCAGTAGCTGCATCATTATTGGATGTAGGGTTTAGGGGTTTGGGGATTTAGGGGTAGAGTAGCTGTGTCAGAATGGTTTTGAAAGTGCAGTGGGCTGTCTGAAGACTGACGATCGCCATGCTCGGTGCGAGCTAGTACTGAAAGGTTGGATCTCCTGGTAGCTTTCACCACCCAGTCAACTTCTTACAGTGTCACAGTTTAGCGTTTAGGGCTTAAGATTACTAGGGTTTGGGGTTGAGGGGTTTTGGGGTTAGGGGCTTGGGGGTTCAGGGTTTGGACTTTGGGGTTTAGGTTTGGGGTAACCCAGCGACCGTGCGCCATACCGCTGACCTGAGGGCCCACAGGACCCACGACTTGTTTCTACAAAATGTTATAAGGGGTTTAGCATCTTCTGGTGTTTTCATGAGGGTTCCGACTTCCGATATGATGCTTTTGAAAAGGCTTCATAAGGCTTGAGAGGGTTCCCAGTGCCTAGCTACCGTTTAGGATGGTGGTGTAGGTTAGTATTCCGAGGAGTATATGTATGACTATGTGGTAGTTGGACTCTCAGTTAGCTGAGGGTATCTCAGGGTTCCTGGTACATTCCAGCCCAGTCGTGCCTGGACTCTGAACTGCACTCGGCCGTAATCGACGAGATGCCCAACCAATTTCAGAAAGACTTCACCCCCAAACCCTAAACCCTACTTCACTAGCAACCCTAAACCCTAAACCCTAAACCCTAAACCCCAAACCCTGAACCAACTAGTCTCACCCTAAAGCCCGTCTCTCGTCATCCTCAACCCAGAGGGCCCATGTACCCAAACAGTATACACTTTGGACTTAAAGTAGTCCCTATGTAGGTACTTTGGGGCCAAAGTATATACTACGGCTGATGATATAAATCCTGCATTACCCATAATAAGGAATATACCACAAATTTCCATAGTTTAGGGTCCTTGTGGTAATGCAGGATGTATATCATCACCCGTATTTGGGCACATGGACGCTTAGGGGAAGAAAAACTGCGTCGACGGCGAAGTTTTGGACCTACCCCTTAGGCTCGGCAGGCCCGGGCTCGGGTCTACCTGGACAAACAAAGTAATGTAGGGGCCCAGATAGTTACCTATAATTACTATTTTGGGGGTTCCTTATTAAAACTTATAGCATAACGGGCCCCAAAACCCTGTTCTAATTATTAAGGCCTTTGTACTATGCCGAAGAATGGCCCTTTAGCAGGGGCCCTTTACAGGGTTAGCCTGTAATTAAGCGGTGGGTTACATTTACCTACTTTGTTCTTTGAAGGGGGCGGGGGGCTCTTTGGTATTGCGGGCCTGTGATCCAGAGATCAGACGCTCGACGGCATCGAGACAAGGCCACATATGCCTGCTTTACTGAAGGGCTCTCAACCTACCTGTAGTCTCCATTGCAGTTCCTTTTTTGGGTTACCTTATAGGACCATAGCTTCTAGATATAGACTTAGTTAAACCAAAAAAACCTACGATGGAGACTGTAGGTAGGGTTCGGGGTCTTAGCCACCTAGCCCATTTAGCTGCGGCTTAAGGTGTCAGGTTCTGCTTGGTGTGAATGATGAGTTTGCGTAGTAGTGTTCCTGAGGGCCCTACTGCGAAAGCATGTCCCTTTCACGAACGAGGTCGATCATGGTTTCATAAGGGCAAGCCCGGCAAGCCGGGCAGTAGCCCTCCTTTTCGAAATCGAAAGCTTGGGGGTGGCCGCTGGGAAAGACTGCAGACCTAAGTGACCTACAGGGATGAGCTGGGGACAACAAGGTGAGACTAATGCACGCGTTTTGATGGCTGTACGAAATGAGTAGAATGTCTGCTTCTTTGGCCAACACGCTATCTCTTAAACAGCAACTGCACAACCAACGAACAATAACTACCCGCACCTTCGGATCAACCCTCTGCGATGTAATCAAATCTCTCACCGCTAGCAAAGGCTGAACCCTGATTAGCCCTAAACGCCATCATTGCCGGCCCTTCGACCTGATCTGATGAACCTGAAATCCCTGAACCCGAAAGGAAACCCTAAACCTAAGACTGCTTACACAGGGGGGGATTAAAAACAATAATAACACATTATGAACAATCACATATATAAGAACATGATCAACGATTTCGGATAAGCAAGTGCTGAGGCGTTCTGTGCGAGCAACGGTCACTCAGACCATGCCCAGAAGGTACCCTGTAGTATACTAACAATAGTTTTTTCACAGAGAGAGCGAGACAACAAAAAAAACAAAGACAACTCCATATTCACACATATATGTATCGATGTGGCAGTTATCATGTGACGTGTTTCTTGCTTGATGTCAACATGGCTTAGGCAATGACGTGGAGCACACGCTATCTGACTTGCCGAAAGCATGTGCGCAGCCTATGTGCGTAACATTCTGCGCAGTGCAGTTTAACTACGCAGTTCTATCACATCTGGCAAAGTGCTGAACCCTAATACCAACAACTCTAAAAACGAAACCCTAAACCCTACCTCAGCAGCCTAGCAGCCTTGCATTCGCTACACATTCAGCGCCCTGCCTGCCCTGGAGAGAAGAGGCCATGCAAGACGACGTTGGCAGCCTACGTCTTTGCGTGTTATAGGGTCTGGTACGGTTTTTCAAAAGCTTTTATGCGGCCTTTGTGCGTATGGGGCTTTATGGGGTTGTATAGCGGTGTCACAAGGGTGTCATAATGGCTTTGCAGTGGCTTTATACGGGTTCTATGTGCGTCAATGAAGCAGGTGGCAACACACCGCGATGCTTGTGATCAAAGGCCTACTGCGCACTTTCTCGGGTCTACACTGGGCTCCTCGCATTGGGAAATCACCGTCTCCGCTCCCAAACCCTGATGTGTCCATGTGCCCAAAGAGTATATGCGTGGTTCTCTAAATTAGGGTCCCATTTTGGGTCCCCAATATCGGACGGCTCCTTATAATATGGACCCCAAAAGGGACCCCAATTTAGAAAACTGCCCATCTACTTTGGCCGCAGTCCCTGTTTTTGGACTGCTTTGGGGCCACAGCATATACCGCTTGGGCACATGGACGCTTAGGGAAACCTGTTGAAGGCTTCTGCTGTCTAGTCTTGGGATTAAGGAATGGGAATTGGGGGGGAGGGATTTTCTTTTCTTTCCCTATAAGGCCCCATGTACCTACATAGTACAAACTTAGACTTTAAAGGAGTGTATGTACGTATATAAAAACTTTAAGACCTGAGCATCTACTATATAAGTACATGGAGCCCTAGGGTTTAATTCCGAACTTAACAAATCTTGTCGTGGTCTTTGTTTCGTTCCAGCTGGTGGCAAGACAAGCCAAAATATAGGCTCTTCCTTGCGCAGAAATGCTCTCGCCAGGTCTGTTACAATCCTGCGACACGCAAACATCCAAAACCACAAAGCCTGAGCAACACCCTATAAGGTTCCAATGTAACCAACTTGGGGAGGAGGGACTGGGACGAAAGCTAGAAGCGTCGACAACCGAGGCCTTTCCAGCGCAGCCAAGCATGCATATACGCCCATGTATATCATGCCTAGAAGCCAATGGCTTTAGGTCGGGCGCCCAACATAGAACAAGTAGGCGACGCGCGAACATCATGAGTCATGAGTTACAAGCATCATAAGCATCCCTCTCGGAGCCAACAAGCGCACATCGCGAACATCATTGGGGGCCTCTTGGATCCCAATCCAAGCCAACAAGCGCGCATCATGAGCATCATTGGGGTCTTCTTGGGGCCAACACACGCGCATCATGAGCATCATCGGGGAGCCGTTTTTCCACTCGGGAGCAGTCTGAAGCACCACATTCAAACACCCCACAAAGGACCCGAGCGGGGACCAGCCGAAAACCAGCACCAGCTGGGGAATAGCCCCAAATACACGCAGAAAATGCCCACCTGGGCGGGGGCTCTTCCCCACACCCCTAGATGCAACCTTTCGGTTGGTAAGGAACTCGGCTAGCCGCGGAGGCTAGCTTTCGTGATAATGGTTTAGGGTTATCTGAAGACTGTACAAATACTGTCTACACTCAGGTCTAATGTCTTCAAACCGTACCTACTTCGGGCTCATGTAGGGGACTGAGCAATTAGAATAGGGTTTTGGGGTCCTTCATATTATTTTCTTATAATAAGGAATCCCCCCAAAAAATAATGTAAGTAATTGTTGAGGCCCCAATATTACTCAGCGTTAGTAACTTGCGAAGTCACAGAGGGGTCTGATCAAATTCGCGACAGCATTCCCATAGTTGAAATCAGTATATACTGTAGAGGCCAAAAGAATCACCAATACTATTTTGGGGGGTGGGCTCCTTCTTGTAATTATAGTAAAGTGGGCCCCAAAACCCTATTCTGATTATTAAGGCCCCTATCTTATAGAGCCCTTATAGAACCCTTTACGGATCCCTTTAAAGGAACCCTATTCTAATTGTTTAAGGCCCCTATATTACTTGTTCTAGTCGTACAAGACACCCAAAAGCTCTGCTCTGTTTATTCAAGGCCCCGAAAGTCCCGAAGGCTCCATGTGCCTATATGGTATATACGTGGGCCGTAAAGTACCTATTAGGGTTTAGGGTTTAGGGTTTAGGGTTTAGGGTCTGGAACCCTTTAAAGCCTAAGCATAGACATGGAAGATTCGGGATTGTATGGGTAGTTCTCGAAATGAGGGTCCCGTTTTAGGAACACAAAAGAAGGCGGCACCCTAAGCCCTAAACCCTTGTGACAAGGACCCTACTAAAGGGGATCCTCGTTTCGACAACTACCCGTTTGTTTCTGAGGTAGGTGGGACCCAAAACCCTAAGCCCTAGACCCTGGAAGCCCTCAACCCTAAACCCCCAAAACACCCGAAACCGTACACTCCTTAACCCTAACCCCCCTACACCATAAAGCGTTCTAAGGTCCTTGGAACCTATTGGGCATGCAACTCAGGCAAGCACGTCAAGCGTGGAGCCCTGAGCACGGTGCGCTGTGAGTGCCCAACCTGCATGGTTTGGGGTTTGAAAGCTTTTCGGTTTTTTTTTTATGGGTTTAGAGTCTATAGGGTTTAGGGCTGAGAGTTTAGGGTTTTGAGTTTAGAGGTCAGGGTTGAGGGTTTATGGTTGCTTGCTTGAGGTCCGCTGAAAATGCTGCCGAATTGCATAATATGTGCGGTTCATGGGTCTGAGGTAGGTATGCATGTTGGTACCGAAAAACGTATTTTTGAGCCGAATACTATTTGAGTACGTGCGCCCTTGCGGTCAGCTGGTGTACCTCACCTTTGCTGCTTCTTGTCGCTGTGCTTCCACGGCTGTGAATTCGATTGTTACTGGCTAGCCCTGCAAAACCGGACCAGGAACATGACCAACTAGAGCAAGCAGAGTCACTGTCAAGAATGCTTCCCAGAGTCTGCTCCTGCTGATGAGCAGAGGCCATCTGCTTTTGTCTTCGTCAGCATCACTATATCAGACTTGCCATGAACACCATCGTCATCGCCGCAGTGACATTCACCGGCAGAAGCAACGCATAGTTGCCATCACCTTCACCATCGCTATCGCCGCAGTCGTCATCGCTATTGCCAGCGCCACAGTCATCATCTAAACTCTCACCCTAAACCCTAAGCCATCAACTACGACGTGCCTACAATCCTACAATCCTTGGCTCTTGAGGCACCATAGATTTATAGCCTAAACCGACCCTGAACCCTACGAAACCCTACCTTGAATCCGTCTTAGGGCTCCTTCTTGAGCTTTCCTTGTTTAAGTCCGAATAAAGTGGATTGTGTATTTGGGGCTAAGGTAGACCCCAAACGCCAAGTCCCAAGTCCAAGGACCTGTCAGGTTTGGGGGTTTGAGAGTTTGGGGTTCAGGGTTTAGAGGTTTAGGGGTTTGGGGTTTAGGGTTTAGGGGTTTAGGTCTAGGGGTTTGGGGTCTAGGGGTTTGGGGTTTAGGGGTTTAGGGGTTTGGGGTTTAGGGTTTAGGGGTTAAGTAGGGGTTTAGGGTTTAGGGGTTTGGGGTTTAGGGGTTTGGGTTTGAGGTTTGGGGTTTAGGGGTTTAGGGCTTAGGGTTTAGGCATGCAGCGATCCAAATCTGATCAATCGGCAGCAGTTAGACTTCTCGACGACTCTGATCTGAATGTCTGCGAGGCCTCCCCCCAACTCAAACCCCAAACCTAAACCCTAGACCCGAAACTCCAACTATTAACCCCAAACCTTCAGCCCTAGCGCCTGTCTGGCTCCACTCAGTGTTTGGGGTAAGATGAAAGCCTGAAACCAAGTAGGAGGTTCAAAAAACTAGGGCTCGGGGTAGCATTTTTTGGGCAGTTCCTCATAGTAAGGATCCTACTCCTATAGTCTGTATGAGGGTTTTATAGCAAGATTGGGATACACTGAACTGAACCCTAAACCCTATTCACCCTAAAGCCTAAACCCCTTATACCCTAATCCCTAATCCCTCAACCCCTTTAGCCGGGCCCGCCTAACCGCAGGGGCAGCTGCACGAAGTGGGGACCTGGCGTGATTATGGGGCTTCAAGGGTTTAGGGTCTAAAGAGTTTAGGGTTTAGGGCTTAGGGGCTTCAAGGGTTTAGGGTCTAAAGGGTTTAGGGCTTGCAGGGTTTAGGGTTTAGGGTTTCGGGGTTGCAGGTTTCAGGGTTTGGGGTTTACAGGGTTTAGGGCTCAGGGCTTAAAGGGTTTAGGGTTTGGGGTTTCGGGTTTTATAATTTGTTGTTGAGGGGTTTAGGGTTTAAAGGGTGTGGGGAAGGTTTTTCAGCCCCTGCGATTTGAGAACGACGCTGCCGACACTGTCAGTCAGTAGCAAAAATACCCACTTACAGTCCCCATATACTTAGTCTCGAAAACGCTATTGCACCCATTAAGGCCACTAGTTCCTGACCCTAAACCCTAAACCTTGAACCCTAAACCTTAAATCTTAAACCCTACACCCTAAACCCCATGCTTGCAAACTTCTATTCCTGCGGGGCTCAAGTTCCACAGACTCGACAAAGTTTACCTGGACCCTAGAAAACCTACCTTTCTTCAGGGCCCCAAGTTATGATTTCCTTAAAAGACGTAGCAAAAAACTATAGGTTATTGGGGTTAAGTTTAGGGCTTGGAAGATGGTACGGCCCATGACGGCATGGAGGCAGTGTCAGTGCTTGCATCAGGCGTGGCTGCATCAGGGCCACAAAGCACAAAGCACCGCCCGGTAGGGTTCAGGGTTTAGGGCGTTAGGGTTTAGCGCTTAGGGCGTAAACCTGCAAAGACGAAAACCGTACAGATCTCGGCAGGTAGTGGCACTTCTGAGTCGCACAACACCAGTTAACCAGTTGTGCCTGGTCGTCAAGGTGGCGGGCAGTTCTGGTTGGTTCGGTGCGTTGAGCAAATTAAGATGTAGGAGTGTCAGACTGCGGCAGAAGTGCGGCAGAAGGATCTAACAGTTAACAAAATGCCTCCCAAACTCTCAACCTGAAATCTGCGTTTCGGGTTAGCAACAAGCCTTATCGTTAAAACTGACAGGCTGCAGGCTGTAGTGTTAGGAATTTGCGGCGCCGGCTGGTATGCTGGGACTCATGTGAATCTAGGCTTTCGTGTCCAGGTTTAAGGATTGTAGACTTTAGTACTCTGTTTTGATGGGTTCGGATTATACTACTCGGACATACCGTTCAAGGATCTCGGGGCTTTGTGCTACAACACTCGGTCACTAGGAGTTGGAGGCTATGGGCTACAGCAATGAGAATTCGAGACTTTAGGTTTCAGGGTTTGGTCTGAAAGGTTTCGGGTTTAGGTTATGGGAACTGGGCCTCATTAGGATGTAAAGGGTCGTGGAACCCCTCAAACAGTCCTTATGGTTTGAGAAACCCTCCTTGAGCTGAAAAGGCCGCATGTTCACGATACTACTATAATTTTGACATACGGTTGATGATATAAAGGCTGCATTACCCATAATCAGGGATATACCATAATTCCCATAGTTTAAGGTCCTTAAGCTAATGCAGACTTTGTATCATCAACAGTATTAGGACCTATTGAATATGCCTTTGCTGAAGAGTGCGGAGAGTCTGGGAATTCTGCATCCACATGCCGGACAGGGCCGTCGGGGCTCTTCGCAGTCCATGAGTTGTCGCCAAAGGACACCTCGGCACCAGTGGGGTTCAAAGCTTTAGGGGTATCGGGGTTTAGGGTTCAGGGTGGGGTTTAGGGGGTTTGGGGTTTCGGGTATGGGGGTTCCGTTTTGAGCCGTAGATAGGGTTCTGGGGTTTTTTTGAGGAATGAAAGGACTACAATTGGATTCTCTTGCTACTTGTGCAGGCCCCTACAGTGAGCCTCGACCCTGTGCGAAATGGTCCACAGCTGTCACTTGCACCTCCTTTGCTGAAGAAACCTATACAGCATCATATGAAACTTAAAAGCATAAATCCGAAACCCTAAACGCTCAACGGTCTTAGAGCCCCAAAGAAGCGCGGAGCCTACGGAGAGCGGCCCGCCAACCACCCTAGACACATGCAAAAACCATAACCTGACAGCCTGAGAAATGCAATTATAAGCCTACTTAAACCTGCCCAAGAGCCTACAGGAACCTTCACCCCCAACCCCCGCCCAGTTCTCATCCTAGCATTATTATAATTAACTCCTAAACCTCACACCCCAAACCCCACAAGCCATCAACCCTAAGCCTAAACTCAACCCTAAACCCTGTAAACCCTAAACCCGACACCCTAGAGGTGGTACTGTTCCAAGGAGGGCGGCCGGATAAATCACGTGCTCCTCTTCGCCGCCTTCGTTGCCCATGACCTGAAAGGTATTATAAGTATACCGAAACCGTAAACCCTAAAAACCTAAACCTATATGGGCACTTCTCTCAATCAGGGTCCCCCTTGTAGGCCCCCAATATAGTACGGCACCCTTGTAAAAAGGACCCTAAAAGGGACCCTAATTTGGAGAATTACACCTTCTTGGGGTTTGGGATTTGATGAGGGCTTGGGGTTCAGCGACGGTGAACGGCTACAACAGCCAGAGCTAAACGACCCTTGGTCTGAACCGTTCTGCCGGTTTCAGTTCTAGGGCTACTTGGAGGATCATGGGACTTAGTAAGTATGGTTATAAGTACCTTAATTGAGGTTAGAAGTAGTTATAAGTATAGTTACCCTTATAATCACCGCAGTTACTAAGTCCCATGATCCTTTAAGTAGGGTCTAGGGTTTCGGGTTTTATAGTTGAGAGAGACAGAGATAGGGCGAAGGCTTTAAATGCTGGAGGTCCCCAGAACCACAACCCTCGCATCGGAATGACCGAGTCCTCAGGGACGAAGACCTGTACAAGAAAGCCAACGCAGAATGTATTCCCTGAGCTTCACACACCTCAGCTTGCAAATCGTATTTATGTGGGTGGTTGTCAAAATTATGGTCCCTTTTTGGGTACCCTAAATAATAGGTGCCGTAGAAAAATAAGGACCCCCAAAGGGGCCCTAATTTTGACAACTACCCATGTAGATAAACAGGGCCCCTGTTCCGTATATCCAGTCCTGGCAACATCCGAAATTTTCGGCCTGGACCTGAGGAAGGTAGCCGTCATGGTTCCTGTGCTTTCAGAATCCCCCCCCAAACCCTAAACCCTAAACCCTAAAAACTAAACCCAAAACCTAAACCCCTAAACCCTAAACCCTAAACCCTAAAAACTAAACCCTAAATCCTAAACCGGGATTTGTGTTTAGGGTTTAGGGTTCACAGGACCCAGACAGGGCGGGCTGAGGAATACGATAGCTGCCCTAACGGTCCAAAGGACCCTGCACTTAGGTACATGGGCTAAGGGAATGTAGTAAGGTAGATAGGTCAGTATTTGCAGGAGTATATGGGTAGTTATCTTGATTAGGGTACCCTTTTTGGTCCCCAAAATAGTACGACAATCTTATAAAGAGGACCCCAAAAGGGACCCTAATTTAGACAACCACCTGTTATGAAGATTACGTATAGGCTTTCTGCTCTGAGGTTGTGGTGGGCGTCTCTGGAGGCTTTTTGGGCGGGGCTTGTGTAGAGGAGGGACTCCTTGTCTTGTGCTCCTGGCCAGAGTTTAGTGTTTACCTTAGACCGTCTATATGGGAGTTTCCGAAAAGAGGGGACCCTAATGTAGTACCCTAAATATTAGGACTCTTATTATAAGGACCCCAAAGTAAGGTACCCTAATTTTTAGAAACTCCCATATCTTGGGTGGTGGAGGGTTCCAACTCCAGGCAGGGAGTTCTAAAATTCTCTAGGCTTTTAAAGTGGTCATGCATGTATCAGTCATGGTTGCTAGGCTTTCATCGAGGTCCAGGACCCTATACTTTGGTCTTTGGGTCCAAGAGTTCCAGAATGTTCAGGCTTTAGGGGATTAGGGTGTTGAGTGTAGGGTTTAGGGTTTAGGGTTTAGGGTTTAGGGTTTAGGGTTTAGTGTAGGCTTTGATCGGTCGACCCAAACCAAAGACCAGCCGTCCTTCTCTGCATTGACCCAACTTAACGTGCCCTTCAGATTTGCTTGCCCGCTCAACAACTTGGACAAGCCAGTTCTCTTGTGTAAAATTGCGCAGCGAATGTTTTGTAGAATGCACATGCTATCTCGCTCCGCACACGCGCGCCTGCTAAATATGTCGCACACTTTTGAACAAAACTGAGCAGGTTGGGTGCTGTGTGGAAAACGGACGAATGGAGGGACGAAGAAAACAAATAGAAGCTTTCTTGCTACCCCTCCATGGAGGAATCTTGCTACCCCTCAGCCCTCCATCGATGCTTGAATTACACAGGGCTCCTGATTGTGCCGCAAGGAATGCTTCTCAATCCCGAAACTCTAGACCCTCCTGTTGATGGACAAAATCCTGCATGACCCAAATATAGTATAGTACCATAAATCCCATAGTTTAGGTATATAAGGTCATGCAGGATGTTGTCCATCAACCGTCTCAAGGGTTCCGGGGTCTTCGCTTTTGGTTTTCACGGTAACATAGATGCCTGAGTAATGAGTACTATTCCTTGGGGCTCCTTATTATATTTATGCTGTAAAATCAACCGAAACCCTATTATGAATGCTAAGGCGTCTAGATTGACCTGATTAGGGCTCCTCATTCCAAATAATTGTGCGATCAGATCAAGATTCAAGTCTAAGTTCCTGTCCGATTGCTCTGATCTGCGAGGCCGAGGTTCTTGCGTTTTTGGGGGTGGCAGGGTCAGGGTATGGGGGTTTAGGGCTGAGAGTTTCGGATTTTAGGCGGAGAGGGCAGGGCTTGTTGGCTTTGGGGTTTGGCGCCCGAGCAAGGTTTGTCCAAGTTGCAACATGAACTGCCGGATGGGGCGTTCCTCAGCTCTTGCTGGGTTACGGTTTAGGGTTGGGATTTAGGTTTTAGGGTTTACGGTTTAGGGCTGGGGTTGAGGGTTAAGGGTGTAGGGTTGGGGTTTAGGGTTTAGGGGTTTACGGGAATGAGGTGGGATTGCGATCGAGAACTATCCTGCGTGCGCTATTCATGAACTAGGAATGCTCTTTCAATCATACCGGGGGGGAAGCCCTTTATGAATCCCTGAACCCTTAATGAAGGGACTGTCTGGGTTGGGGGGCTTGTTGACACCCTGTCGCAACATGTCGAATCGTCACTTTGAAACCGAAGGTGGGGCGTGTGAATAGCTTCAAACCCTCAGCTCGAATCCTGAAATCAAGGTAGACTCAAAGCAATGAAACCATCCCAAGGCCCTACACCACCAAACCTCAAACCCTAAACCTCAAAGCCTGAAAGCCCTAAACCCTAAAACCCCAAACCTTCAACGCGAAACCTCAAAGCCCGAAAGCCCTAAACCCCGAAAGCCCTAAACCCTAAAGCCCCAAACCTTCAACCCTAAACCTCAAAGCCTGAAAGCCCCCGAAAGCCCTAAACCCTAAAGCCCCAAACCTTCAACCCTAAACCTCAAAGCCTGAAAGCCCTAAACCCCGAAAGCCGTAAACCCAAAAACCCCAAACCTTCCACCCTAAACCTCAAAGCCCGAAAGCCCTAAACCCCAAAAGCCCCGAACCCTAAACCCTAAACCCTAAACCCTGAAAGCCCCTCAACCCTGGAGTCCCAAACACTAACTCCCCAGTCGTACAACCCAAGCCCTACCCTAAACCCTAATGTCCTTCAGGGTTTTAGGGTTTAGGGTTTAGGGTTTAGGGTTTAGGGCAATACAACCTACCCTAACACCTAAACCCTAAACTCCCAAATTGCTAAACCCTAAGCCTTAAACCCTAAACCCGAATCTCCGAAACCCTAAACCCTCAAGTCCTACAGTCTCTCAACATGCATCCTGAGACCACTGAACCCCTACTTGGAGGATCATGGGACTTGGAGTTCTGGGTTTAGGGTTTAGGGTTTAGGGACCTAGGGTTCAGGGTTTAGGGGCTTACGATAGAAGCCGGAAAGTTGGAACATCAGTATCCTCATGCCCTTAAAGTAGAGCAGAGGGAATCCCAGCACTAATAATCATCCTAAATCCAAGTTCCAACTTTCTGGGGTTCACTACAGGGGTATAGGGTTTAGGGACTTAGGGGGTATGGTTATAAGTACCTTAATCGGGGTTCTACGTAGTTATAAGTACAGTTGCCCTAATAATAATCCCCGTTACTAAGTCCCATGACCCTCTAAGTAACCCTAAAGAACCCTTATAGAGATCCCCTTTCAGGGACCCTTTAAGGAACCCTAGTTACTAAGTGTTATGACCCTTTAAGTAAGCACGAGCATCGTAGACAGCCTCGAAGTCTGGGTGCTTGTGATCGAAGACCTTGCAGTGCGTTTCGGTGTTTGGGGCTTGGGTTTTAGGGTTTGGGGCTTGGGGTTTGGGATTTAGGGTTTGGGGTTGTGGCTTGAGGGTTTAGGGTTTGGTATTTAAGAAGATCTCGGGAGAGAAATCCCTTTCCCGAAGCTCAACAACCCCAAGGCTTTGTTATTGTGGTTTATGAAACAGGTTCATGAACTATAGCAGAGATCCTGAAAACCAATTGATTGGGAGCGGTTGATGATACAAATCCTGCATCACCCATAATAAGGAATATACCATAATTCCCATGGTTTAGGGTACTTCAGGTAATGCAGGACTTATATCATCAACAGTATTGGAGTGTCTGGGAAGTCCTGCCAGTCGTTCAGTCGTTTTCGAGAGCAGGGATGCAAGACAAACCGGTTAAGGTTTAGGGTTTAGGGTTTAGGGTTTAGGGGCCATCAAGGCGAGAATGCCTCGAACGAATAAGGCAATGCCTGCTATACATAAAAAACACAGCTTTCGTCACGAAAATAAGAACGCAGACTGCAGTAGCTTGTTGGTGCTCGGAGCCCGACTACCCCCCTGAATTCAAGGAGTCCGGAATAGCACGGGCGCAAAGAAGACCTTGTAAGGAAGGCTACGGAGTGCAGACTTCGAGCGGAAGTTGCAACCAGACTAAAGTTCATGGTCAGAAAATCTGTGCCATGATGTTCAATTGTCAAGACTCCTCTTTGTATGACGATTCTGAAGAAATATGTTCAGCAGCAAAACACCATTCGCTTAAAAACGGAGCGTAATGTACAGCCCATATAGTTTCTTGGCTATTTGAAGGGCCCCCTAAACCCTAAACCCTAAACCCTAAACCTTAAACCCCAAACCCTAAACTCAAACGGAACACAAGTTTAAGACACCGCGTAACACCCAAATCTTCTATACAAAAACCCTTACAAAGACCAACATGGTTAGGGGTTTAAGGTTTAGGGTTTAGGGGTTTAGGTTCAAGAACATCCCCCGTCGTAAACTTAAGCGTCCGTCGAACCGCAAAACAAATGACGCGAATTTCTGCCGTGGAGTTTTATTGCAATACAAATACATATCATTCCTAGGACCTCTGAAGTACACTCCAGACCCTAAATCCTAAACCCCAAACCCTAAACCCTAAACCCCCAAAACCTTAAACCCCAAACAAACCCCAAGCCCAAAACCTTAAACCCCAAACCCCAAATCCCAAATCCTAAACCCTAGACTCCAAACCCTAAACCCTAGACTCCAAATCCTAAACCCCAAATCCTAAACCCCAAACCCTAAACTCCAAATCCTAAACCCCAAACCCAAAGCCCTAAACCCTAAACTCCAAATCCTAAACCCCAAACCCAAAGCCCTAAACCCTAAACTCCAAAT